AAGAAGAGGAAAAAAAGAGTAATCTGATACAATTTGATGAATTTGACCTACACCTATGGATGCAGTAGCTCAAAAGAGGGAACAAATCTTTATAGGGAGGATCATTCCCACCCCCTCCATATACAGAGTAGACAGGGATGGGAAACTTGGACATTGACTACCCAAAGTTGAGGGGCTACAAAGGCAAGAAGTGACTGGCTTACAAACTTTCAAGAGGGAACCCAGATCCAGAGGGCGTGGAGGAAGGTAGAATCTCCACTGAGTAGCAACCAATCTGTCTAGGCGGGGCTGATGAAAGGCAATGTGGATAGGTCTGTTATGATACAATAGTGAATAATTGTTATCAGGATTGATTGTGAGGGTTGGAAATGTAAAGGTAGACGTTTTGTAGCAAGAAGGGGAGTAATTAACTTTGCAGTCTAGGATCAGAGTTCCCTGGGACCATTAAGAGAGAAGAGCAGAGAGCAGGACCCTACATAGAGAAGCAGTGACGCCAGAGATGGAGGCAGAGATGATGACGTGGAGAGATGGAGCAGGTAGGGACTCTAGAACCAGCGAGGGAGAGGGGCTGTGTGCTGATGATTGGGGGGCGGGCTTGTAGGATATACCCCTTGGTTGGTTGATGATGCATGGAGGGGGTTGTAACCATGGCAATGAAATGATAAAAGAGAATGAATGTAAAACTAATGTTCTCCCATGTAAACTATCACATAATTCACAACAAAACATTAAAAAAAAAAAAAAAAGATGGAAGGAATACAGAGTCACCATACAAAAAAGAAATGGTTGATGTTCAACCATTTCAAAAGATAGAATATGATCAAGAGCCAATGATACTGAAGGAAGAAGTCCAGCGAGCCGTGCACAGAAAGCACTGGCAAAGAACAAGGCTCTGGGAATTGATGGAATCCAAACAGAAATATTTCAACTGATGCAGCACTGGACACATTCACTCACCTCTGCCAAGAAATTTGGAAGACAGCTACCTGGCCAACTGATTGGAAGAGATCCGTATTTGTGCCCATTCCAAAGAGAGGTGACCCAGTGGAATGGGAAATCATCAGACAATAGCATTAACATCACATGCAAGTAAAATTTTGCTAAGAATTTAAAAATGGCTGCAAGAGTACATTGACAGGGAGCTGCCTGAGAGTTTCTAGCTGGATTCAGATGAAGATGTAGAACACGGGAAATAACAATGTCAGGTGGATCTTGCTTTATTGACTATGCAAAGACTTCTGATTGTGTGGATCACGACAAGCTATGAATGACATTGTGGAAGAGGAGTATTCCAGAACACTTAATTATGGATGAGGGATGCTTTAAAAAGTTTGTGGGAAAATTCTATTAAACTTTTTCAAGATTCCTAGTATGACAGGGAAGTGCTGTAGGATATACATTGGACTTGCTAACCACAAGGTCAGTTCAAACCCACCAGGCACTCCTTGGAAACCTTATAGTGTCACTGTGAGATTGAACCGACTCAAAAGCATTAACAATAAAACAGTAAGATATGGGGGTTCTGCTGTGGCCCTGTAGGATAAGAATTAGACCGCTAACCTAAAGTTTGGCTGTTCAAACCCAACAGTCTCTCCTTAGGAACCCTATATAGGGTCGCTGAGTAGGAATCAAGTTGAAGGCATTTAACAACAAAGTATGATACATTTTAAAGCCTACCTTTATAGTATAATTCACTGATAATGTTTGAGACATTCAGGTTTTCTTTCTGATCCTGGGGGGGTCTGATCCAAGTTGTGGGTCTTCAGAATGAGCCTTGTTTGGCAGTACTCACCCAACTGCTACATCTGTCCACTGTTTTCAGGAGTTACTAAAAGTATGCTTAAGCACTCCCACTTGTCTCCGTCCAGGTGTGGCACTGTAACAAGCTAACTGCAAGGTTGGCAGTTCAAACCTACCAGCTGCTTCTCAGAGACCCTATACAGGGTTGCCAATTGAGTCTGAACTGAGGAGTGGATGGCATTTAACAACTATACACTTTTAGGTTCCTGGAGTTCTGGTGTGGTGCTGTTGGCTAATGTGTCAGACTGTAAAGTCGTTTGAACTGCAAGATCAGTGGTTCAAGCTCACCAGCTGCTCCTAGGAAACCCTATGCAGGGTTGCTATGGGTCAGAATCGACTTGATGGCACTAACAACAAGTGGTGCAAATGGTTTGTGCTGACTACTAACCTAGAGGTTGGTGGTTTAAATGCACCCAGTTGTGCAGAAGAAAGGTTCGGTGACCTGCTTCTCTAAAAAAATTATATTTAATAAAATTCTATGGGGCAGTTAGAGGAGTAACCATTAATCGAAATTAAATCTACAGCAGCAGGTTTAATGCACTAAGTGTGTCAACTCAGGCGTCTTCACTTTTACATCAAACGTACAATTCATTAATTAAAGCAATCATCTTCTCTAAGCAGAGAGTCTGTATTTGGGCAAAATTTATATTTGACAAAGGTCTGTCATCAGGATTGGAGATAATGAATAACATATACTGTGTGGTTATAATGTGCTTGGCACTGTTGGTAAGCACTTCACATGTATTCGCTCATTTAGAGTTCTTTTACAGGACACAACTGAGGAGCCACAAAGGTTCAATAATTTGCCCAAGCAAGTCATGTAACAGTAATGGTTAAAGATAGGATTCACACCTATTCCCTCCACAGGGTACTCCCTCAACTGCAATAGCACCTCTCCACCTATTACCAGGTACATAGGCAAGGTAAACAACTCAATCCCACAATCAAGGTACGTTGACTATTACACTTATGTTATTCATCTAATGCAGACTCAACAAGAAATGTGAAAATTGGTCATGAATTTTGTCATAAAACTACATACCAGTTGAAAGTTAATTTCCTATCGCACACCAGCTATTACTTGATACCAACATGAAAAAATTCCATTTTTGTTTAAATTGGGTGAATTAAATTCACATCCAAAGACTACAGTATTTAATAACTCAAGGAAATATCATTTGGCATACACCAAAATGTTTCTTAAATCAGTTAAAAACTGTGTAGGATTTTTAATTCACCTTAGCAGACTGCACAAAAGGTTGATTAAAAGGAAGTGTAATATTTTTTAATACACTGCTAATATACCTGGAGCTAATATTCTGGAGCTCTGGTAGCGTAGTGGTTACGAATCGGGCTGCGAACCTTAAGGTCAGTGGTTCGAAACTACCAGCCACTCCGCGGGAGAAAGATGAGGCTTTCTACTCCCGTAAGGATTTATACCCTCAGAAACCCTGTACAGGGTCGCTATGGGTCGGCTCCGACTCGAAGGCACTTAACAACAACAAATATACCTACATGCCAGTAAAAACACAACCATTCATTTTAAATAAGTTTCTCCTTAGCGTTAAAAAAATTCCACTTCTGAAGTATCTTCACTTTATAATTAATGTCTAGAGCAACTTTTGCTTCTAGCAAAAAGTGACATTTCATTTCAACCATATATACCAAATTTTATTTTCTAAAGCCATTCAACATGTATGTTCAAATTACTTGGAGAAAAAGCACACTTTGACAATCTTAAAAATATTTCCCCCCCTGTATTCTATAAATTATACTTAACACCCCAATGAAGTCTGGGTATGGCGCTGTGGTTTAATGTGCTAGACTACAAAGTCACTTTGAACCACAAGGTCAGCGGTTCAAGCTTACTAGGTGCTCCTTCGAAACCCTATACAGGGTCACTATGGGTGGGAACGGACTCGGCGGCACTTAACAACTAACACCACCCCCATAGGTATATCAAGGTATTGCAGCAGATACTGGATAATTAATTAAAACCTATAACACTGGTCAGTGTTTTAAAACAAACATCACTGACTACATAGACTAGTAAACTGAAACCAGTTCACGAAACCAACTTGTTTTCTTAATTAAATCTGAGCAAATACTTAGGAGAGTATTTTCTTAAAAAGGTGAGCATGGTGACTCTGTAGGATGTCACTCTGTAGGATGCAGCTTGAGCCCACCAGTTGCTCCACAGAAGAAAGATGAGGCTTCCTGCTCCCACATGGCTTTGCAGCCTTGGAAATTGTACACATGGTTGCTATGAGTCAGAACCAACTTCTTGGCAGTTAACAACATATTTAAAAAAAATTCATAGTATAACTATTTTTACAAATCAGGCGCAAAATTAAAGTTTATTTTAAAAAGCAAGGCAGATATACTTAAAAGTACACAACTAAAATTAATTCATAGACTTAGTTTAACCTTTGTGAAGTGCTAAAGGGCAATAAGTGGAAATTCAGCAATTCAATGAATATAAATGTCAAATCATAAATACCAAATCAAAAGCAACAAGTGAAGAAGTTACCATAAAAGTCTTTATTTAGGTTTGGTCAGTACAGGTAAGATATACTGGAGTCACAGAGCAATGTGCATTAACAGGATACAACAGTTCATAAAAACGGAGCAACTATGCACACAATTTCTTAAACATTCAGTCATTTAAAGAGCAAATGCACAGATGTATGGTGGAAAAAACTGTATCTAACACTGAAACTACTATAGGACTCCATCAACAAGTCCAACTTTTAGTGATAAAACTACTGTACTGGGCAAACTTGGCAGTCATCAACCACATCTACTATAAGGAGTCTGACTGTTGCGAAGTATACAGCATGAGTCAGAATGCCTTTACACAGCACAGGTTCTAGAGCTACACAGATTTATACAGACATCATTGTGTTATAGTTTAAGAAAGATTTCCATTTACAACTTCACATTAACTCATATAAAAATAACTTGACCCTACACAAAATGTTCTTTTAGCAACATTCAAAGTAATTAACTGTTACAATTTCCAAAGTGGCAGAGGTATTGAAGCAAGAAGAAAAAAAAAAAAAGAAAACAATAACAAAAAACACACCCACAAAAAAGGCAAATTGTGACAAAAGTATGCATTAATTTTCTGGACAGTATCCTTCCTCAAATTAAATGACACTGTATAAAAATTTGCTGGAAAAGAAATATTACAAAACTGAACCCTGTACACTGACACCTGAGTCCAAGCCATTCTGAACATGGCGGGAACCCGCAGTTCGGTTACCTTTCCCGCTCACGGCTTTCTCCTCTTGAGGGTCAGGATTGGAGTCTGTATCATTTGAGTGGTGTGTGAGAGAGTTTTCACTGCCCGTGGGAGAGTCTACACTTTCATACCCCGCACTGAGTTGATTTACGTAACTACTACCTCCTCTGCCAGTTCTCTCGTCAGAGCTGTTGGAGACCTTATTCCCATTCCCCGGAGAAGAAGGAAAGCCGTCTTCAGCTGTGTTCCCCTCCCTATGAAATCCAGACCCAGACGTCCTCTGATGGGAGGAGCTGCCGTTACTTGGTCCGTTAGCCAGGCGACTGCAGTCTTTACCAGTGGCCTCTGCCTGCTCCACAGGCTCTGAAGATGTAGTCCTGCTGGTACCTGGGCCGGAGGCTTGAGACTGCTGCTGTTGGTACTGAGCCAGCTGCTGGCGCGTCTCCTTCAGCTGCTGTTGAAGAACTAGAATGGTGCTCTGCATTCCCTCCACTTCTTCATCAAGTTGGATGATGAAGTCATTTAGTTCTGTGCAAAGAAGAATCAAACCAACTTTACTATCATTGCTTATCACATATTTTCAAATACTTTAGCAGCTCCCACAAAGCCTAGCTGCCAGTAAACATTGGTAAAATGAACAAAAACAAGTCTAAATTCACAATCACATCTTTAGAATTTAAAAATTGTGATGCAGTAATGAGTTTGTTTTGGGGGAAAGATAGAGCTTAAAACCAAAAGTTCATATTGACAAAAGCCATCTAGGCACTAAAAGTGGTTAAATTTGACCAAGTTTACAGAAGGGCCTACAAGGCCAGGCCCTTCTCTCTTTGTCTAAACATTGGTTACTGGCATCGCTGTAATCAGGTACTATGCCACATGCAAAAACAGAAATTTCAAGAAATAATTCCTGAAGAGAGTTAACAAATTCTAAAATGAATATTTCACAACCACAAAATATAGAGGAGGGCTTCAAAGAGTTCATAGAACAGTGGAATTAAAAGAATTTTTCCATGAAAAATTGAAGTCCTTTTATACTATGTTTACAAGTAGTAAGATCTAAGAACTATCCCTTTGAAAAAATACTTTAAAAGATATTACTTTGGCTGTTGAACTTTGCAATTATCAGACATACTAATTTTCAATTTAAATTTTCAGTAAGTCTAGGCATTTTCCTTACTATCAATCTTCCCTACAAAGCAGAGGAACAGCAGAGATCCAGCCACATTTCCAAAACAAGGAGCTGACAAGTGGGTTTGTCTTAGTAAATTTAAATACTGAATCTCTTATTCACTCAACAGGATCTCCACAAATACAATCAATTATATATTTTCAGATCACATAAAGAAATTGGCTAAATGAAGATATTCCTTAAGTGTGGAATAAATCTGTACAGAGCTCTGGTAGCGTAGTGGTTACGAATCGGGCTGTAAACCGCAAGGTCAGCAGTTCGAAACTACCAGCTGCTCCGCGGGAGAAAGATGAGGCTTTCTACTCCCGTAAAGATTTACACCCTCGGAAACCCTGTACAGGGTCGCTATGAGTCGGTTCCGACTCCACGGCACATAACAACAACAACAACATATTATGCTTTAGAAATACAACGGCACTTGTCTCTTTGAACAACTCCCAACTTCCCAAATGAATGCTGCTGCTGCTAACTGCTGTTAAGTTGGTTCAGATCCTTAGTGACCGACCCCATACAGGGTTTTCTGAGGAGTGACTGGTGAGCCTGAACTGCCCACCATGCAGTTTAAGCTGACTTTGCAGTCCAGCACATTAACCCACATGCCACACCAGGGCTACAAATGAATAGTACTTATGATTTTACACAATAAACAACTAGTAGTATAGTGTGCAGTGTGGGAACCACTACCACCACGACACACTAGAATGAAGTGATTTTGTTGATCTTATTTTTTCTCAATTAGAAAGGTTTTATTCCTAATTTTACATAGACACAGTTAGAAGTACATTTGTATAGAATCTAACCTGTGATAGTCATGCCTGGCAGTTGTGTACGTGTGTGTTTTTCCCTAAGAAAGAGCGAAGTTAAGCAAACGTTTAAGAAATCCCTTACCATCCTGACTGCTTTTAAGCTCCTCACTATATTTCTTCTGTAGAGCCAACTCTGCTTCAAGCTGTGCAATCCGTCCCTGGGACAGTTGCCTTCCAAGCTCTTGATTCTCCTGGATAAGCATGCGACACTTCGCCATTAACTTTTTGCCTGTTTGGCTGTAAAGGAAAGAGCCATTCATCACAAAATGAAGACAGAACTCTCTACGAGCTTCTTCCCTTAGTTACTGTTGTGATCAATGGAACACGTACAGAATATCATTATAGCACACCAGAATGTCTCCCTATAATTACCATCTTCTTCTCTGGAACACAGCCATCTTCTGACCTTCAGTATTTTGTCAACACAGCAGCAAAAAAATTAACCTTACACAAAAGATATCCAAATGGCCACTTTGGTTTCTGTTATATTAGTATTGATCCTGAAACCTATTTCACCTTAAATTACTTTTTGAAATATAAAAAGGGCAATTAATTAACAAACATCTTGAATGTACCAATATTAATACCAAGGTCCTTATTAGCACTACTGAACAGTGAAGTTCTTAAAAAAGGTCTAAGCAACATTAAGCACAAAACGTACATTTCTTTAAAACATGCAATACATGAAAATCAATACCTGGAAATAGAAACGAATGAGGACATCTATTCTGGCTACAAAAGCACTTCATTAAAATTCCTTTTATTAAGCAGTTCTCAAGACTGTATTTACTACATTAACTAGGCATGCTCAGTAAAATAGTTTTGTTTTTTTTTTAATTCTTTAGGTTCTTTATATTAATCAATCCTTCATTTAACTTGTGTTTATTTTTTAATTTTTCTAATGTCTTAAATTGGGACACGAATTGTAACAAGGCTTCTACCAATTTATCATTAATCTATAGTTAGAATTTTACTCATGTTATAAAAAAATTAGGGTCACAAATATACAGCAAAACAGGAGTGACGTATCATAAATAATACAAAGATGCGAGCATTTACTAAATTCGGAGTGTCATACTTTCACCCAATTAGTTTCCAACTACTAGTGTAATGTACTGTGTGGCTGTGGGCACTACTCACGTCAATTCCAACTCACAGTGACCCGACAGGGCAGGACAGGGAAAACTCCCCAAGAGGGTGGGTTTCCAAGGCGGTAATCTTTATGGAATCTTGGTGTGGCACTGTAGGATAAGCACTGCACTATAAGGTCGATTTGAACCACAAGGTCAGAGGTTCAAACTTACCAGCCGCTTCTCAGAAACCCTTTAGAGCAGGGGAAGGGAATGTCCAGACAGACAAATCATTTGGTCTGGCCCTGCCAAGGCAACCGCAGTTCCAGTCATCACACTACAAACAAGTTAATTCAATGTTTGATCAAAATAGCAGGCTAATTTTTAAGTTGATAATTTTGTACAGCCCATGAATGATGCTACAAATTTTGGCAGTAAAAGGTTCCCGGCTCCTGCTACCCAGGGTTGCTATGAGTTAGAATCAACTTGATGGCACTTAACTACAACAACAATCTTCATGGAAGCAGGCTGCCACATTTCCTTCCCATGGTGTGTTTGAACTGCTGACCTTTTGGGGCAACAGCTAAGCACTTGCCACAAAACCACCAGGGTTCCTTACAACATACCATAGGAACCTCTATACACACTAACAATTACAAAACTGTAATCAACATTCTCATAAATTTCTCAATAAAACAATATAGCTTTTCTTTAGCCTAAGCAATAACCAGAGGTTATCAACCTTTAAAGAACTAATTTAGGTATTATCTTTGAGATTTAGATAGGAACAGTTTAATGTTCTTGTAATTATGTTAGATCCAGAATGATGTTCCTGGTTATTATTGTTGTTATTAAAAAAAAAAAAAAAGAAGAAGAAGAAGGGGGGGGGGCATTTCCTTCTTTAGTAAGACTTTCAATTGCCTAATGCATTTCTTCAGATTACGCCTGAGCCTATCATGCCTTGGAACTTTAAAAATGAGAGCCTTCACTGAAGTGTTGCAAAGTACTTTAATCTAGCATGTAAACCTAACACAAATCAAGCAAAGGCTTGTCATTTACGTTTCTTTATGAAAATATGTAACAGTATATAAATAGTAACAGTAAAACCTGCGTCACTACTGTTCACAGATGTCTACAGAGAAAGCCACGAGTTAGTATGTGGCCAACTTCTTAGCTGGCGTTCTTGTTCACTGCTACTGTAGCTCGTGTTGCACCAGCCTCGACCTCACCTCTGTGGAGAAGCACTCAGGAACCAAGTAAAGAGGACATAGACACCAATGTTCAAGACAATGGGTCTACCATTTGCTGCTGGGGCCCCTACAACCTACAGCTTTATTTTCTGGCAGTAGTTTATTTTCTAGTATCCCTGTTTCCCAACCAACCTGAATTTTGTAAAGATCAGGAAAAAAGATATCTGCAAAATCAAAACATTAATTTGTGACTTAATTTACCTCATATCTCCACAAATCCTAATGCAGTGTTTCATTTAAAAATGAAACCTTTTCATAAATTTTATTTTAAAATAAATTCATTAAAAAAAAAACACCTTTTCATAAATTCCTGCTCTGAGATCGTCCCTTATTGTTTCTAAAGTTTAATGATGAAAACAAACCTCAAAAATAAAAAAACAAAACTGTTCTTTAAACACGTTGTCATTTTACTTAATTTTATTCATTATATCATGTAAAAATTCACATTAAGCTCACATCACATAAAAGATGAGGATTTGATGAAAAGTTAGCAGTCGTTGGACTATTAAAATTAGAATAACACAAAAATCCAACTAAAAAATAAAATAACAGAAAGATTAGAAAATCCCTTCAAGAAAAGAGTGTATTAAAAAAAATGGACATTCTATTTGCTTCAGTTCCTAATGGGAAAAGATGCTCACCCAATTACCTAAATGATGAACTGATAACTGAAAACGGACACCATTCTGAACTAGCTCATTCTACAACGTCTGCACTGTTACAGGAATGAAATATTGTAACTAAAGGAGGAGCATCGCTTCAGGGAATCGTCTGCCTCAAATAAAACCAAGAATAGGTTGGGTGAAAGTAAACCATTCTACTGAAAGTATTACTAACAGAATGTTGAGTGACAGTTTGTTCCACAAAATGATGCATTTTAATACCCCATATATTCTGGTTTATAGTTTATTTTTACAGAACAAAAATTCATCTGTAGGAAGTTAAAATAAATTATGATCATTAATATAATGGGAATTTTATAACTATTATGAATAATCTAGATATACTTAAAAAAAAAAAAAAAAGGAAAAATGTCTAAGGTACTAACTGAAAAAAAACAAAAACAAAAACCAAACAGTTGAAAAACATCTGTATGTATTGTATAGTCACATTTATTTTAAAACCAATACATATAATATTTTGTGTACGTGTATAAATGAGCGTGGTGACACCCAAGAAATATAACAGTGGTCCAAGTCCTGGAGGAAAGAATGGAGAAGATCAGGGATGTATCCAGGAGTGACTCTCACTTTTCATCTTTACCTTTCTCCAGTTTTATTTTCAGATGCAAACATGTGTTATCAAAAGAATAAACTAATAAAAAGAAAGAAAAAAAGACCTCAGAGTGACTACTACCTAAGTGGCAGAGAAGATGCTGGTTAAATTTGAATACATGGTAAGAACACATTTGATGAATTATTTCTTAGCCTATTAATACTTAGCCATTTCCACTGTGACCTTCAATGGCATAAAAAAAAATAAACTGACACCTTAATGCTGGCACAGTAGGCTTATTTCATACAGATTATTACTTACCCTCCAACCCCCACAAATGGTAAGAATTTTAATAGCAGATTTCTTGCTGAAGAGTCACACAAACCACTTCTTCAGCCCACCCTCTACCCCACAAATCAGTTCCCTAAACACAAATATACAAGATACTTACAATTGATTTGAATGATTAAGAGAGAACTTAAGTCACCCTTGTTAAAACCACTTAAACGCTGGGACAAGCTGGAACATTTATCTTCCACTCATCTTAGACTCCATGATCACCAAGTGAAAATTCGAACTGGTGACTTAGAGAATGAGCTGACGAAAATATTCACCTCCAGGATTGGATGGAAGCATGAAGAAAATAATGCCTCATTTATCTATATGAGCAAACAAATTTGCTAGAAATGATCACTAATAACTTTTTTCAAGTCACAGTGTCTCACTTAAGCCAGTGCACAGTTCAACACAATATCGCCCCGATCTTCAGGCAGGTACCCTGTGAAGCTGTCCCACATTCATTTCTACTGCAATCTCTTGGGATAAAGTGTGACAAAGTACCAAGTGTCAACTCTCGTCTGTTATGGTACCAGCGGGAAAACAGGAGGTCTTTAAATCAAGAGACAGGGAAAGAGCCTTTTCCTTCACTCTGAAGAGCAAGTTTTCCCAAAATCACCTCCTCTCCACAGCCCCCCAAATTAAAGTAATAAAGTACAACAAAATCATCATAGTATTTCTTGAACTTAAAAAACAAAACAAAAAAAAAAAACCCCAACTATTTCATGGCACATTTAATATCATGGGTGCAATACAAAAAAGGCCCCAGTACAATGAAGGCCCACATCCCCCATTACCACCACCACCACCACAGTGCTCTTTCAACATGTGCCTGTTGAATAGAATGGGGATTTAATCAATTTCACTATTGAGAAAAAGTAACGCCAGTGTCTCATCACAGCTAATACCCATATACAATCTAGTTGTGGAATGAATGTTTATAAATGCTTAGAACAGTTCAAACCTGGATTTGAAAACCACACCTCCGTGTTTGTACAGTCCTCAGTAAGATTGTCTATAGCAT